GACTAACCTAGTGGTAGTCAGAATCTCCTTTAGTGACTAGTTAGCAGCTAGAGAAGTTCCCAGGAAACCCACTGTTTTCACCCCAGAGAACAGGGTTTGGATTTGTGGTGGTTTTTGTTGTTGTTGTTGAGTTTTTTTCCCCCTTTAATACTCTAGTCCAATTCTTAGAATGCAGTTATCCTTGTAGTTCAGTTGTTTTAGCATTAGTGTGTCTAAAGGCTGATGGACAAGCCTGTTAATCCTTTAGAAATGTTTTCATGAAATCTTACAAACTGCTAATTTTCATATTTCTACAAAATGTTTTACTCTTTCAAGTGGTACTATGAGCTTACATTTGACAGTGTTACTGGTAACCAACTTGTTTTAAAGCGATGTTACTTTTCATTCATGTAGTATTGATGGGCAAATTTGACGTACAGATGGGTTATCAGAGGCCTAAGCAGTAGATACATGTGAGTATTTTTGTGTGTTCTGGAGCTGTGGATTTGATTTTGTATTTTAAATGTGACAAATAAACATTTTGGGAGAAAACCTTTTTCTGTTTATTCAAGTAAGCATATATATACTATATAATCTTATACTGGTTTTTTGAGACATGCTCTGTAGACCAGACTAGCCTTGATCCGCCTGCTTCTGCCTCCCAAGTGCTCAAATTAAAAGCTTGTGCCACCATTGCCCAGGCAGGTAAGGAATATTATCTTCCATAGAAATCGGAAAAATCCAGTCATATGAGAGCTTGGTTCAAACTTTAAAAGAATGTTATTAGGCAACTGACAAGGCAGGTTCCCATTAAGGTATGCATTTAGTGGTATGTAGCCTAAGATTTTAAAAAAAAAAATCAACAGCTTAAGTTGTTCTTGGTACAAACCTTTCTAAGTGTCAGGTGGGTGATACTCAAGAACTTTTAGGGGTTGAAAGGGATTGGCGTGATAGGTGCACACATAGTGGTCTTGTTTTGAACTGCTGCTGTGTGAAGGGCTCATGCTGCCTAGTGGGTGGTGTGTGTGTCTGGAATGGAGAATTCCAAAGGGTTCTGTGTAGCAGAGGGTGTTTGTTTGTGTGTGTGTCTGTCTGTCTGTCTATCTGTCTGTCCCCAGCAATGGAAAATTCAAAGGGTTTGTGTAGCAGAGGAGGCTCTAAGCTGTAGACTGTTCACTGTGTTAGGCTCTAACCAGTCACTAACCAGTGGGACCACAAACTCCAGAATCAATGCAATGATTTTACCTTAATTATTTTGAGCTCTACACTCACATCTGTCTTCCACGTCAGTTGTCAAGGGATTTTCTGAAGTGGGGGGATAGGCTTGGCGGTAAGGCCAGGACATAAGAATAATTAGGATATTCAAGAGTTCCTACAAAAGATCGCAAACTTTGTGTTCCATCAAAGGCTGGCTCCTTTAGATACCTCTGCCAGTTGTGAATCTATGTGCAGTCTCCTGTAATTAAGAAATTATGAACACATATTATCAAGGTTCACTTAGGAAAAAATCCCTGGAAGAAGCAAGCTGTTAGAGACTAAGTAGTTATCTCTACCCCAAGGTTTGCAGTCGTGTTTAGCCAGTGTGGCTGCTACAAGTCTGCCTTGCTTGCTTGCGGACCAGGCACACACAGTAGCACTCCAGCACTGCTGTCACCCCCTGCTGTGACCTAGTCCACCCAACACTCTACATTGCCTAATAGCATAGTAAAGGCCGGTGAATGACGCTCTCATTTGAGAAAATTATGAAAAATGGAGATTTCTGTCCATCAACTTGTTAGCACATTTTGACTCATCTGTAACTTTTATGGATGTCCTTCTTAACACTGCTAAGACATGACTTATTGAGGAAACCTATCCAAACCCCTCCAACTTTTAAGAACTAGTTTTAAACCCCATAGTCCCCTCAATTAAAAAAAAAATGCCTGTAACACAGTACATCCCATAAGGACTTTGCTTCAAAGGTGTAATACAGTGCTACCAAATCTGATGAATCAAGTATAAGGCAATAGATTAAAATTTAACTTTTGACAATACTAACAGATAAACAAAACCACCAGAGCCCATTGTCTTTGTTATCAAAGTTTATTACTGGGATCAGCTTCTATTTAGTGGAGAGTAGCAGTCTCAGTGTGCTATGGTAATTTTCTGGTTAACTGTTATTCTCTAAACAGCTGTACTGGGGTTGTTTGGCACAGATCGTCTTCAGCCAGTGAAGGAGAGCTCCCAGAGGACCCTGGCAGCAGAACCATCACTCTAGGGAAGTTCCAGTGCTGTGCAACCTGTAAGGCATCTCAGCTGATAGCGATGTTATGGAATGAAACAGGAGTTAAATCCATTTTCTACTTTGTTAAGATACCTGGCTTCTGTGTGGAAAGCCCAACATGGCATCTTTTAAGCTCCCAAGCAAGAGAAACAAAGTCAGGAAAGAGGACAACGGAAGGAGGGGAAACTGATGGCGTGGAGAGTACAGATGTCATGTGGGGATGACAAGACAGCACAGACAAAGCCAATCAGAAACAATTAAGATGTCCGTTCATTCAGATCTTCGAAGTCATTCTCATGTCTTTGGAACTCTGACAAACTGGTTAAAACAGATCAGAAAAGTGGACAGCAAACAGGAAAACGAGTATTTTGAATGACAGATCTAGCAACGGCTTTGCCTATGAGGTTCTGGTAGAATTTTTGTAGCATAGATAACTTTGAAGGAATGTTTTTTTAACAGTTGAATTATGCAAGAATGCAAATTACTAATGTGGAAAAAGTCAATGACTCATACCTATTTTTGTGAAGTCTGAAAGCAGCTGTGGCTCAAGACCTAATCCCTCCCACTGCCCTTTAGATTAAAATATTAAAGAAATTAACCAAATAAGTATGAGTCAGTGAGCCTCGTTCTGTGTAGACAGCAGATCATTTAGAGACTTCTGCCACCAGCCTGAAAAGCAAAGGCTCGTATACCAAGGGTTGCCTCATTAAAGAGGGTAATAGGGAAGAAGGTAGGGTCATTAACCCTAAAAAGGTCTAGCTGCCAACCAGATTAGGAAGGTAAGTGTAACAGCATTGGAAACTCTCATCTCTCATACTAACCTAGTTTACCTATAGAAAAGTCATCTTCTGGCACCAAGTGTCTTGATTTTGTGGTTATTAATCTCATTCCCTCAGTGACATGTAAGAACAATAGTACAGGAGTGATGGCTTTCTACCAAAGCTTTTCCATAGTCTTGACCTTTGTGGAGTCAGGCTCTACTGAAGCATCTGCAGAGGTTCATACTTGAGGTTTCTGCTCCACAGAAGAGACACGAGAGCTGTGGTGATGTGGCGCATCTTGGTGCTGAACCACATTCTCTTGTCCAGGAAATACCTTTGTCCTTTCGTGTTTACAGGCTTCTATAACGAGCAGAGGAGACAGCTCCCAAAGGAGAAACGGGGTAGAATGTTGTTCTAAGCTTGTTGCTAAACTTAAGGGTCTTAGGCTTGGCTGATACCGGATGGGATAGGGTGGGTGGGGCTGTCTTGAGATGGGATGCTCAGGCTGCTGCCCAGACCTGAGATGTTCAGAGCCTATTGCCCTTTTCGGCCCCTCTGCAGCCATCTTCTTACAAGTGCTTTTTTCTTCCAAGTGCTTCTATCACTTGGAAGTTTCATTTGCTGGAAAAGAGAGAACCTAAGAATGAATTAGCTTAGATTCCTGGATATTTCCTAACTTTAAAAAATAGCATTCTAGTCCATGACAGGAGGTTGTTTTACTGCCCGTTGTGTATCCCTGTCTATTTCCATCACTCCCTGATGGCATCTGGAGGAGCAGAAACTCATGCTGACCGGGCTGAGTACCTGTGTGCACAGCCGGGGCTTAGCATTGTTTTCTGCCCTCTCCTCTTCCGGGACAGGTTCTGATTGGGTTCCTCGAGTGGTACATTGCTTAGAAAATTACAAATGTTTTCTAACAGAGGGGGAAAGCAAATGAGAAAAGACAAAACAACTGCAACTTCAGCTGCCAGTGGGGGCAGCAGAGTGAGCATCAGGAGGAGCCTGACTCCACGGGACTTTACACAGAGTGGGGGCAGCAGGAGGAGCAAGAACCCACGGGGCTTTACACAGAGTGGGGGCAGCAGGAGGAGCCTGAACCCACGGGACTTTATATAGAGTGGGGGCATGGGAAGATAGATTTCAGCTATCTTGAATGCAGTTTTATAACTGCTTGCTCTATCTTAGGTTTAGGGCTCAGTGTTGAGGGTAGGATGTGAGGGCAGGAAGGAGGTGTATGCCACTAAGAGCCTGTGCTTGGGTGGAGACTTCCATTAGGATTTCAGTTGAATGGTGGGTGGGCAAGTAAAATGTACACTTAATAAAAATGTCTTTTTTATAAAGGGAAAGTACGTTAGATAGTTTTAAGTCTCCTGTTAGAGACTGGCCACTTTCCTTTTCAGAGGCTGTAGGTGGAGAATGAGAATGGGTGAGTTGTCTGTGCTTCCCATGTATCCCTTGCTCTGGTATTTTCCCACTCAAGGTGAATAGGGCTGTGGGCTTTCCAGGTGGGCTCTGCCTGGCTCCTCTTCTGCTTCCCCCTTATCACCTGATGACCTTAGACTTCACTCACTATAGTACTATTTCTAGAAATCAATTTTTTAAAAATATTTTTTTTAATATTTATTTATTTATTTATTATGTATACAATATTCTGTGTGTATGCTGCAGGCCAAGAGGGCACCAGACCCCATTACAGATGGCTGTGAGCCACCATGTGGTTGCTGGGAATTGAACTCAGGACCTTTGGAAGAGCAGCCAGTGCTCTTAACCTCTGAGCCATCTCTCCAGCCCCTAGAAATCAATTTTCAAATAAAATTTATTTTTGTGTGTATGTGGGAGACTGCACAAAGATATGTGTACCATACGCATGTAGGTACTGGCAGAGGCCAGAAGAGGGCACTGTATTCCTTGGAATTGGAATTCCGCTGGTTGTGAGCTGTCATGTGGGTGTTAGGAACTGGCCTATAGTCTTCTGCAAGAACAAACAGTAAGCACTCTTAACTGCTGAGCCATCTCTCGAGCCCAAAGATTTATTTTTAATTTTATATATATACTGTGTTTCTGTGTAGAAATGAGCATGTGACTACAGGTGCCTAGCAGGTTAAGAGGTCCCTGGGTCCATCCCCTGATGCTGGAGTCACAGGTGATGATGAGCTGCATGATGCAGGTGCTGGGAACCAAACTCTGGTTCTTTGCAAGGGCAGCACATTCTCTTCACTGCTGAGCCAGCTCTGCAGCATTTTTAAGACCGAATTAACACTTTTCAGACATCTGCTGACAATAGGAACTGATTGTAATGGCTCACCCCAGCTAAGTTCCATGAGACTAAGATGATGTTTTAAAACTCTCAACATTCCCTAGAGGAAAGCAAACAATATATATTATTATCTCCCTGGTGGGCATGGGTTGATCACCCCAGGACACAGAGCTGAGGCTCAGAGGTACTAAAGCAGACTCCACTCTCTCCCTGGGTCATGGTCCTGCAGATCAGGAACAGGCAGTACAACTATGTTAAGTAATGCAAGCACACAGACCAGCCATAAAAGTTCAGAATTTTTAAGGGAAGAAAGTTATCTTCCCAGACAAACTTTGTGAATGGAACACTGTTGGACCAAGTAACTTTCTGCAGTAGTATTGCTCTCATGTGAAGTGTTTCGGCAGCTCCTTGTCATCTTACCCACTACATAGGTGTTCCTGGATCCAGGCCACAGAACAAAATACCAAAGAGAAAATGTTGATGACCTGTTGTCTACACTGTGGCATGGCAGGCTTTTTTGAACAGAACTGGAAAAGAGAAACTCATGGCCAGAAAAAGGGTGAGTGTTAGACATGACTGGGGCACCAGTGATGGTGAGATCTACTGCTGGCCAGTTACCTCAGCTCTTCCCTCAGTTGACCTCAGCCACACTTTCAGGATCACATTCTTTTGGTGGTTCTCTGGATAGCTCGCTCTCAATTTCCCACAGAACATCATCTTCCTCCTCTAAGTTGCTGGAGATGTGGCACTTTCTGAACCCCTGGACAATTGATTCACTTGAGATGCTGTTCCATGCCATCATGACCCACTCCAGGAAGAGGCCCAGCGGTGGTTTTTTAGCATTTCCAGTGGGGCTCAGTGCCAGGTTCCCCGCCAGAAGCCAGTTGTAATACTGGGCCCGGACACTGTCATTCAGAGGCTTGTAGACCACCATATCCAGCACCTGCAGCTGTGAGGTCAGGCCACCTGGGATGATCACCATGTCTGTGTTCATGCTCTCCATGGAGCTCTTCACCGAGTCGGTGGCGTGACACCGGAAGCCATTCAGGATCAACATCCCTCGTTGTTTGGGCACAGCTCCAGTCCTCCGTTTCCACACAACTTCCAACCAGTCTTGCATCAAGTCCTCAGTCATCCACCCATAGCGGTGGCAGCGGATTTCCATGCCACTGGGGAACTTCCCAGGGGGAATATATGTTCCCCTCAAAATGATGTATGGGGGTAACTTCCTCCCATCAGCCAAGACACCCAGCATGGCTGTGATCTTCAATTTCTCCCTACCTGGTGTCTTGATCAAGACAGGCTTTTCACCCTGGTTGTCTACAGTCACTCTAGAGGGCACTTCTAAGCAGATGGGTGTCTCATCTGCATTGCCCATTTGTGCCACTTCATAGTCATGTGTCCGGCGCAGAGCCAGCACGCTCTGCTGGTAAGTGATGAGTTTCTCAGTCAGGTCCTCGGCCAGGTGCTGGGGAACCGGCACTTTATGCCTCAGAGATAGGTCATACCTTCTCATCATTCTTCTACACCAGCCCAGACTTGCCTTGAATCCTTTTTCTGGAATGTTCATTTCCTGGGCAATTTCAAGAGCTTTCAACTGCATTGCCTCCCTGGTGATGGGGTCCCCTTTGGCCTGCATGTGTCTAACATACTCAGCAACACGCTGGTCCACCAGAGCAAACCTCCCATTCTTAGGGCCTCGGAATGCCCGCCGCATGGCATGGGCACTTTGGAGCTGTGGCTTCACTTTTCGCCAGTCTCGAACATTTTTTTCCAATACCCCAAACTGCTTGGCAGCCTGACAGTTGTTGGTGGTTTCAGCATACTCCACCACCATCAATTTGAACCCAGCATCGTAGCTGCGGCGCATGCCCCTACTGAACTGAAACCTGCTAGCCAAGTCATCAGCTGAGAGGTCACACCCTGGGAAGCCCAGGGCCATGTAGAAGGGGTACCCCTCACTCCATTCAGGCAGCTCAGTGATGTCCCGAGGCAGATGCCAAAAGCTGTTGAATTGCTGAGGTTGAGGGAAATGGGAGGTGGCAGTCATTGGGCTTGCCCAATGTGGAGTGTTAAAGTCAGATTCTTCACTTTCTAGAAGGTAAATAAAAAGGGCAAAAATAATGCCATAAGGTTTAATCTGGCACTCATAAAAGTGAACCAAAAGTTTAACAAATAACCCAGCGTAAGTCCTTATCTATGTCCCATTAGCATGGGCTACCAAATCTTATTTTCACAGTTTGGTCGTGTAGTATAGGCCCTTTGCAATCGAGCAGAGAGACCTTAGATGCTATGATTATAGCACGGCCACCAAGTTATGAAGTGACGAGAGAACGTTCAGTGGGAACTGAATACAGGTACTAAGCCTGGAGCAAATAATATCAGGACCACGTTTGGATGAAAACAATGTTTATGTGAGGACCTGGTGGTGTAGCCCTGTAATCCCAGCTATGTGGGAGGCAAAGGCAGGAGGATTCTCAAGTTCAATGCCACACTGTCTCAAAATACAAAGGAAACAAAAAGACAGCCGGGGCTAGAGCTTGCTTCTCAGGCTTCATTCCCACTCACACCAGTATCACCCACTGCTCATGTGGATGGGGAGCCAATGTATCCACATTCCTACCTAATACTACAGACATCGGGAAGCACCATGTGCTGACTCACAACCCTTCAACTGAACTGAACCAAATCAAAATAAAGCAACAAAAACAAACCTACAGCAAAAACCAAGTTAGCAAAATGAAGCCTATACTGCAGACACCTGGTTCCTGCACGGCACAGACGGAACTGTTTCATCATACATTTCCATTTGGAAGGTAGTCACAGGAAACAGGGTTTATCGTGATTACCGTACCTTCCAAAACAAAAGGCCATCAGCTATAAAACGCAGTTATGTATCATTAAAAACAGCTATCACATGCCATTCACTTTTAGAGGCATTCTCAACTGTAATGTTAGTAAAACAAAAAGAAAAACATGTTGTGGAATCAGCAAAATATAGCATTTTAAACCTAATCACAGAGAAAAGCAAATATATTTTGGTAGTCTCAAAATTATGATACATATGCACACATACATGTGTGTATAAGTATGTGGGGGTGTGGGGGTACACTAATACACATACTTTTTCTCCCTTCTTTTGAGGTAGTCTCACGTAGCTCAAGCTAAGAATGACCTTGAACTTCAGATCCTCTTGCCTCTACCTCCCAAGTGTTGGGACTAAATATGTTTTTCCAACTCTTTCTTTTGATATATTAGGTACTTCTTAGAAATAACTATCCAAATGTGCACTACAGCTCTTACTGCCTTTCCTACCCAGAGTGGAACAGGTAGCCTAGAGTGTGCTTTGTCCCTCCTCTCACTATGCCTAGTCTGTAGAGACAGAGCAGCTCTCTGGTGTGGACCAACTGCTGTGTCAGCCTCAGGTCACTTCATCCATGCACCATGTGCACACCAAAGTGGAAACTCACAGCCAGTAATGAAGAACTGGAGGCCCAGGAGACAGATGTCACCAAGTCCATACAGTGCTAAAAAGGGATCTTTGCATTCCAAAGCCTACACACAACATTTGTGCCTCACTCCTAAATACACCACAGAATACACACTGACACCGAACACCTAGCTTGTTTCCCGTGGGCGTATGCTGAGTTGGCTCATGCAGTACCTGCAAAGGTTACTCCCTGGAGCCGCCAGTCATCAGAACTAGGGTACTGCTCTTCCCTCTCCAACCGACTGATCACGTCTGGCTTAGGGAATGGGAATTCTGTTCATAGAAAATAAAGCAGGGAAATAGCTGTGTATTATGGTGTAAGGAACACCCTCACCCCCACTGAAGAAGACAGGAGCAGAGCGGGGTGATACTTAAAAACACAAAGGATGGAAAACACAGTCTGGGCGTTCCTGGAGCTTGGTTAATGGGAGCTGGTACTAGGAACAGCAAAGTGCATTGACTAGCAGGGAGGTGGGTGGATAGTCATCGAAACAATCAACATTTTGGAACTCAACTGATCAAAACTGGGAAATTCTTCCAAATGCCTACAGTCTGAGAAGAGGGGTGATGCCCCTGTATGTGTTTGGGTGCACCCTCAAGTGTCTGAGGACAACAAAGCTTTCCTTCCCAAGGACACAGTCCTAGATCCATGATGACATTTTGAAGGCTACACTTTTTATGTTTTTTTAAATAATGGAAACACTTGGGCCAAAAGAGGACTGTTTTAAGAGCTAACGTGAGTTTTCAAATAGAAAGGCGCCATCTGTATGTCCTGCCCAAATCAAAACCAGGGAATGAAGCTGGCACAGCACGGGAGGAGAGTCCCATTCAGATGAGGAGACTAGATGCAACAGAGAAGACAGAGATAATGATACAGTTCTCTGGGTCCAGAGCTTCGCCGAGACAAAGGAAAACAAAGCATTACCCAGGGACAGGACGGTCTCATAATTCATCCTCATGACTTCCCGGTAGAGGGCTTTTTGTTGCTCTGTCAAAACTTCCCACTCCTCATCCGAAAAATATATGGCCACCTCATCAAATAGGGCTGGTACCTGGAACACGAACAATATTTTCTCAATGACTAGCATGTACGTGCACAGATGTTCACATCTGATGGGCTGTGACAGACAAGTGGGTACAACAACGAAGCCTTCACTCTCACAGGTCAGGTCAGGGCTCTCACCCAGGGGGAATGATCTGTCTATTCTCACTGCTCTTGAGGACAAGTGTGTGTGAGCCCTCCTGTGTCCCACCACCACAGCAGCTGCCATCATCATGGTGGGGGACTCTGGGCATCGTCTCCTCAGATACTGCATGAGATCTCACAGTTCACCCGGGACTCCAAAGTCAAGACTCACCACGCCCTGAGTAAGTATCCCCATAAAGCTGTCCATCCCATCTTACAACCTATCTCTAGCCAGAGACCCTAAACTCAACAGGATTACTGCTCTCCACAACATCTTTGAGGATCACACAGACTTTCCTCTTCAGAATGAGTCAACACTCTACACCAATGCTGTCCTGAGGGGAGTCAGCCGGAGAAGGCACCTTACTAGGCCCTTCCAATCTATAGGAGCAAAAGTAGCAGAGAAAGGCTAATTCGAGCTTCACGGACAGAATGAGATTATGTAAGACTAGGATGCCAGCTCCCTGTCCCATTCTTCCATCTCTTTTTCTGGGTCCCAGAAGGAGGGCATGCCTTCCGAGCTAAAGAAGGCCAGCAACCAAAATCTCTTACTTTTCCAACTGATTTGCTTTCTTTTCTACTGCATTTTCTTTTGTGGTCATTAGAAATCGTACTCCAAAGCTCATATTCAGTGATAAGAAATCACCAATGAACTTATTTCTGGCATTCTCTCCTTCAAACTTACTCCTCAAAGCTCTATCTTGGGGCTGGGTGATCATATTGTTTCTCCCTAGCTTAGAAAAAAAATCAGTGTATATATGGCTAGCAGCCTCTTCAAGATCAAGTTGTCTGTCAGTCACTCACACACCCTGGCCTTTCTTCCCTTGTCAACTAGACCCACTTACTATACTGTTACCACTATACTTTCTTCTATATGCGAACACTTGCTGGGAAGCTCCTTGATCTCCCCCAATAATCTCACAACAGAGCAAAGATTTTCAGTTTAGCAAGGGCCGTGGGGGTGGGCTCAGGGGATCCTCATTTCTAGGCAAAAGACACACAGTCGATAGTGGCAAGGTTGAGACGCAGACCCAGCACTGTGTGAGTCCAAGGCTCTCAGTAGAGAGGAGAAAGCTTTGTCCCAAAGGACTCTCCATCCATCCTACAGCTGTACTAACTGCTCATTGTTCCCTGATGCCTATCTATCTCTGCCCACTATTCCTCTGGGCCCTTGAGGTCCTCTTCTTTCACACCCACCCATCTTCCAAGACCTAGCCCAGGTACACCATTCTCCAGGCTGTACGCACACCTGCACGACACCTTGATGCCCTGCTTGCAACTCTCTGGCTTGTCACACTGTGCATTTGTTCCTTCTCTGCTCATCACTTAAATCTGACTTTGCTGAAAACAGCCTGCAATTACTTTGTTTCCCTAAGCCAAAGATGCTTCCTATAGCCCAGTGGTTCTCAATCTTCCTAACGCTGTGACCCTTTAATATAGTTCCTCATGCTGTGGTCACCCCTAGCCATAAAATTATTTCATTTTTGCTACTTCAAAACTTTAATTTTGCTACTGTTATGAATTGTAAATATCTGATATGCAGGACATCTGCAACCCCTACAAGGGTCATCTGACCCCCAGAGGTATCACAATACATAGATTGTGAACTACTTCTATAGCTAGTATGCACATACTATATATTGCTGAATGACTTATTGAAGCAAACATATTACCTCTGGATTTCTCTTCTCTTGTCATACTTGGAAGTTTCAAAAATTAAAATTTTGTCAATAAACCAAGTCAACTCTTTGGAGTAAAACTGAACAAAACTTCTTCACATGTGGAACAGCAGGAGATAAGAATGGTGTGGTTCCTAGGCTTTCCTCAGACTTCCTCAATCTGAAAACCAGGCAGCTCAGACAATTTCCAGTCTACTCTATTCCTATTACCCAAGATTTTAAACAACTCTCTCTTTGGCCTTTTCACTCCCTTACAAGTTCTAGATCTAGGCCATAACTATTTATACTCTCCTTCTGTTCACTGACAGAAGAACGTAGGCCTAGTTACATCAATCCCTGCAGAGCGGGTAACACATTCTAGACCCGGATAAATGTTGACTTTCTAGAGCTGGTGTGGAGACTCATCTTCTAATTAGCACATGGTTAAAGTATCTTCAACCAAATCCAAAATAAGCACCCAAAGCACAATAGAAAGGCTTAGAAGTCTCCCCAAAGCCCTGTGAAGTTGGGGCAAGACTTTGGGTCCTGCTATGCAGGTCTTTTATTTCATCAAGTGCAGCAGAAGGTAAGCAGCGCTGGCTGCAGTTAAAGCTGAGCGGCCAGGCAGTCTGCAGGCAGTTCCGGCTTCAGTCATCTCCCCACTCGGCCTTACAGTAAGAACCTGCAATTCCTATCCTTCCTCTCTCACGTGATTAAGGACTCATCAGAGGAGTGTTTTCCAGCTTGTGTGCACTGTCTTGCTTTCCTAGGAAACTGGCGTCCCAATCCTTATCTCCAAGGGCAATATTTTGTAAAGCACTTTCCTACTTAGGCCTACGAGAGAGGCAGCACCTGAGAGGAGCTGGAACCACTGTATCAACGCAGCTCTGCGAGGTTAGGCACTGCCCAGGGAATTTCCAATCACATAAACAGATTATCTCTTTGAATTATTTAAATAAGCTATAGATTTGGGGACTGCTACTGAACTTTTATGGCTAAGGAAGCAGTGGCTAAGTAGCTTAGCTGAATTCAAACAGCTAGAGTCTGATTCCAAAGCCAGTGTTGTCTCAACAGGATACTCTGGCCTTACCAAGGTGACTAGTATGTAATCCTTCTCAGCTCTGCTCTACAGAGGCCTATTCATGTAGACTGATGGGTTTAAGACTCATTCCTTAAAGTTCCTCAGGCCAGCGCTAACTACCCAGCACAAAACACCACGTCCCATCCCCCGACTTTACCTTTTCCCACTGCCTAGTTTGGCTCCAGCTTCAGGGGTATCTCCTAGCTCCACCCATAGCCTCTCTTCCATGCCTCTGGCCATGCTGTTCTCGTGCCTAGCATGCAAGCTCTCCCCCTCCCTCTGCTCATCCCACTCATTGTAAGGCTCAGTTCAAAGTATATTAATTCTATCTGAAACTGTCTACTCCCATTCTATTACAGAGCATACTGACATGTGAGTACTTCTTATGAACCATCTTAATTATTAAAAAATATGCATTTAAAACACAGATTCTATTTTCCCTTCTCCTAATGTGCTAGATCAGTGTCTCAACCATATGCTATTGACATTTTGGACTACCTAGTTCCTCTCTGTACATGCATGGTTCCTTCAACTGCACTGCAGATGTATAGGGAGCTCCTTGGCTCAAACCGAGGATGCGATAAAGGCCTCACACCCCAACCTCTACTTTGGGTCACAACAACTAAAATTACCTCCATATACTGCTAAATGTTCCAGAGTGGGGAGGGGCAAACTGTCCCTGCTTAAGGCTAAGCTTTCTCTAAGAAGCACACTGTCAGGCCTGAGAGACACTTGCCGCTTTCGTCTGTGAGAGAATCCTGAGCTGCCCTCAGCTGCTTCTTTCCCTTATGAGACTGGGGCTGCAGAAAGGCAGGGATTTGTTTTAATGCTGTGCAGTGGCTGTGGATGGACAACTGACTTCCTGGAGCTTCCAAATGCCCAAACCCGAGCCCCACCTCTCAAGCTGTCAGGCCCCTCCTTCAGCCTCCAGCTACTCTGCTCACTTCTTTCCTGGGCAAGGCCGGCTCTTCTCATTTGTTCAACACAATCAGATCTCTACTTTGACTACACCCGATTTCCATACTGCTCCAGCCTCTTTAGACATTCTGGGTTGCTCGATTTAACCTTAGAATCCAGGGTTTCTGTAGCTTTGAAGTCTTCAAGTTGCCAGAACTGAGCACTGCGTGAGTCAGATCAGAACTGGAGAAGACAGGGTGACAGACACTAACGGGTAAAAGCTTCAGATCAGTGAGCCCTGAGTCTGGCGATGTCCGGCAGTTTACAATGAGACACAACACACTAACGCGCTCCGCTGGCTGGCTGCCGCTCAGGAAGCAAGTGGACACAGGGATCTGGACAGCAAAGCAGGTATCTTTTGGTACCTGAGGTCCTATAGGAAGGGTGGACTAGATAATTTGGAAGAAGGGTTTTTCTAGTTTATTGCCTGCAGTTCTGTGTTCTATGATGAAAGGCTTCCCTTTTATTGGGCACTAAGGACATTATGTATTGATGATATTGATAATGTTTATATACAACAAAAAATATACAACAAAAAACTAAGCAATATCCATTTATTACTTACTAAAAATATTTACAACTCGTGCTTAGTTTCCATGCCTCCAGTACCTACTGTAAGCAAGCGCATGTATTAGATACGGTCGCACTTACACTTGTACAGTCCCTGCAGCTTAGCATTTCCACTGACACCTGGGGGACACAAAGCACTCAACGACCCGAGTCTTACAGGTATTTGGTGCCTACAATATCTATGATGCCATTAAGTCAGGCACACGGGAAATGGGTGAATGATAGTGTCAGGCAGACAAGGTCTCAGTTTCTGAGACCTGAAATCAGCCTTGGTGCCTGAGGCCCCGTTCCCATCACCATTGCACCGCCTTTTGAAGCCACGGGTTTTTTTTTTTTTTCTCAGGAATGCAAACACATTGAGTCTGGGCTATTTTTACTTCCCACGTCTGCCCCAGGAGGAGACCTAAGGCAAACCTGGCTCCCAGGCTGGATTTCCACACCCTCTTACTTACCCATGAGCCTTTGGAACCAATCAGTACTTTCTGCATATCTATAGGGGGGCCATTCTCCAATCCCTGGGTCCGAACCTCCTCCTCTTGCTCTTCTTTTGGAGTCATGTCTAGCGGGTAGGCTGGGGACTCCATCTCTGCACGCAAGATTTAGCAGACAAGCCAGGTGTCAGTGTGAACTCTCAGACCGAGAGGGTGGTTAAGATGCACACAAAACGGCAAAGCACTCACTGTCTGCTTCCAGCTAGAAGAAAGGGATTCAGGGAAAGTGGGTATTTCATCATTATTAGAGGGGCTGTGGGCAAATAATGTATTTGGCTAGCTTCAAATACTTGAAGCGTTGTGTGGCTCGGGAAACCAGACTAGTTATCCCAGACCATTTGTGCAGGACAGAAGTGAGAGCAGCGGACGGGCAAGGAGAGGTTTCAGCAGTGCACTGACAGGCCTAAGCTTCCCACTGCCGGTACCAACTGCACACATTACCGGGGCCAGAGGAGAGCGGTGCTGATCTGCTACCAGGCTAGAATCTGAGCCTAGACAGGAAGTTTGACTAGTTAGCACAAAAACTTATCACCTGGATTTCCCAGATTCACAGGCGCTGTCCACAGGCCAGTTCAGAAACTTAACAGTATTTCTTCCTTAAAGGAAGCCAAGTCCGTGAGACGGAGGGGGGTGTGCCTGGGTGGCGAAGGCCAACCCAGACCTGGCAGGGCTCCTCGCCTCTGGGTCGCAAATTCTCTGTACTCGACGCTTCCTCAGGCCGGTACAAAGAGCTTCCCTTTAAAAGACTGCCGGCAACTGCTGGGTGTGTAGGGAGTGTGCATCTCGTGCGTCCCATCTTCCGGGACTTCCGAAGCCAAGATCTTCCCGGAGTTCGGAGTCAGCGTCTCCAATGTCTCCGGAGGCGGGGGGCAGCCTGCGGAGGCAGGAATGCCCGTGAGGTCCCGGGAGCTTGGGCCTGAAGTTGGCCGCGGCCTGCACTCGGCGGCGGGGCGGGAGGTGGGAGGGGCCGTCGCGAAGGTGCCCGCCGCCGCCGTCGCCCCTGCTCACTTCAGCCATCTTGCCCGACCCTTCCCCAGCCGCCCCTGCACACGCTCCCAGCTCGGGTGCCCCGTGCACCTGCAAGGCGGCGACAGCCCGCACAGCCCACC